TGAGGTCACGGCAAATCCCGGGGATGGAGGACTGATTTTGTGATCAAACCATTCCACTGACCAGGACCACTGCGCCTGCATTCTTCCCAACCGCAATTATCCTGGCATTAGTTGAATAACACTGTATAACTGAACGTTTCGGTTGTGAGCGTGCTATTGCGGATTGCGCCGATGATTGGTGATGTGCGCTGATGATTGAGCATTTATCCTGAGCATTTGAGCACTTATCAACCTGCGCTGATGATTCGCTGATGATTCGCCGATTCCTGATGGTGCTACTGGGCGTGGACATCATAGCCATGTCATGCTATATGGCATCGCGTTACGCGGCTTGCGGCAATTTTAGCGGCCAAAATTCGGCCGGTGACAAAAAATGCACAATTACCACCCCTGTTGCGGTCCTTGCCATGACCAAATCGGAAACAAACACCAGAAACTATCCCATAAAAACAAGTCTAGAGGAAAAGCAAGTTAGTTTTGACCTCAGACCGACCTTCATACCTGACTTTTGGTCAGTAGAATAGGTCGTAATTAGAAACTCGATTGGTTTGTAGCGTAAGAAGCTATCTCAGGTATGACCTCGTCTAACATCCCGTTGTTGCATCACATAAAACCATTCCCTAGAAATGCCCTTCGCTAATAGCCATGGCGTAAATTTGACCTGCCATAGATCATCGACCTTACAAGGTATATCCAATTTATTTACATCAAGATATCTGCTATTCAGTTTTCTACAGGTACACAAAGTGTGGTGTGGCTAGGCGGCGTTGTTTGAAAATTATTCTGGAAAAACCTCCGGACGTCAATCTGACCCCCACCCGAGCGCGTGTTAAGAAATAAACGGCAATGCCAGACAATAGAGGTAAACCCATATCTGTGGTGATCATGATATTTATCTAAAGGAGCATTTATCAACCTGTGCACTGTTTGGAGAGAGTCACTTGGCACAACACCCTTGCTGGGTTATCCTAGCAAAGTTCATGTTGTTGAAATATTAAAGTGATATGAGCTCCATGCCTGACGTGTTAATTTGCGTAAATTGTTGGTGGGCTGTTCTGTTGATGGTCTGGCAACTCTGGTGTTTTTTCATTTTAATGTGGGTGTTTTATTTCCCTACTTGTCCTGTTTCTGGCATGTGTCGAAAGGTGGTTGGTTGTGTCAACGGTGTCTACAGTTAGTCATCAGGTGAACTTTGTCGTTAATGTTTTGTATGTTAATAATAGCTTTGTGTTGTTTCAGATGGACTTATCCCGGCATAGATTTGTGTTGGACAGTTTTCGAAGACCTGAAATTGGGTATTCCATGCGACCCACAAGAATACCTGCTTGTGTTCTACGGTCCCAACTGGACCTCAAAGGCAGAGGAAAGCTGGGACTATAGGACGGGTCACCCCAACGCGCGCAGTAATGGCCAATGGTCGCAGGCGCTCAAGCATATGGTTGTTCAGCCATTGAAACCTTGATTCAACTAGTGCTTACATCAATGCGTTTTTCTTTAATAGAGCACTTTGTTTACCACAACACTGCACGCAAATGAAATTCAGAAAATGGGGGAGTTCTAGAGTTCCCATGTTTCGCTGTAGATATGTCAGGAAGGCGTGTACATATATCTGAATATTGAACATTTCAGTATGTCCAGGTCTCACGAACCACAGCACAGAACCGGTGAAAACGTAAAGCGACGGTAACGTTAACAGCGCTTTTGCTTCCAGTGTCTTATTTCACTCTTTCAATCATTGTTTTCTTCTTCATCCTATCATTCAGAACGGACTTGCGCCATTCTCCTCAATTGTCAGCTACCGAAGAAGCTATTTGTCATCTCATATGATAACTGGTGGTATCGTGGTCGCTAACCACTTTTTTATCTAGCTCCAAGGGTGGCTGGTCGAAAAATTTGCCACATTTGCTGCAAAATTCGGAATTTTTGGCATAAAAGCTAAACGGTACTGTGGAGTACTCAGAATGACGGGCTAAACGGTACTGTGGAGTACTCAGAGTGACGGGCTAAACGGTACTGTGGAGTACTCAGAATGACGGGCTAAACGGTACTGTGGAGTACTCAGAATGACGGGTTAAACGGTACCGTGGAGTACTCAAAATGACGGGCTGAACGGTACTGTGGAGTACTCAGAATGACGGGCTAAACGGTACTGTGGGGTACTCAGAGTGACGGGCTAAACGGTACTGTGGAGTACTCAAAATGACGGGCCAAACGGTACTGTGGAGTACTCAGAATGACGGGCTAAACGGTACTGTGGAGTACTTAGAATGACGGGCTAAATGGTACTGTGGGGTACTCAAAATGACGGGCTAAACGGTACTGTGGAATACTCAGAATGACGGGCTAAACGGTACTGTGGAATATTCAGAATGACGGTCGCACAACGTGAAGAATCTGTCGGTTTACCAAAGCAATGCAATCAAGTACATGAAGCAGACACCAGAGATCAACCCATGACAGGGCTTCTTAAACAGACCGTGAATGATAATTACGACAAATGCTACCAGCCAAACTGTTCATTAAACAACTGCTTTGCGTCGAGGAAGCGATTGGCCTTTTTTTGTTCTTGAGTGTTACACATTTCTACTGGGAATTCTCGTCCATGACGGCGCAGAAATTCAAATTATTGGACGCTTCCTATGGTTGCACTCTTTTTGACCACAAGTGAATAAATTCTGCAGGACAGCTTTCAAATGATTTGCATTTTTCTCCCACCAGTATCCATGCTTCATCACGTGACGGTCCGTTCAATTACTTCATTCGCATTAGCCATGTCACACAAGGCTCAATTGCTAACGCAGTACTTTTACAGGAATAAGAACTGAGTAAAGCATATCTAAGGCATCCGTTCGCACTTCACACAGTCTGCAACTTTGGAATCTGTGACGAATTTGTGTTTGCAATCGTTTTTTACTCGATTTGTTTTACACAGACCCATGTGCAAATGTGGATATCGGAAAGGACAACCAAGCAAGCGGAAATGAGATTACGAAACAGCAACGTTGAAATCAACACGCGATGAAAATATTTCTAGTGGAAAGTGAGTTTTGATGACTAGTCTTCAAAAACCGAGGAGTCCAAAAAAATAGAGCATGTCGCCAACTTAAATCGTAACTGGTTTTGCTTTTGAACTTGGTACAATTTTTCTCGTGACTTAAAGGGAATGTTCACCGTTGAAGATATCGAAGCAAGCCTCAGCTATGATCAAAAGAGCTCGCGTATTGCCAGCTTTAACTATTGGTATGCATTTGAAGTGTAAAAGACTGCATTAGACAGTACAGTTCAGTTCTCTATTTAGCAAAGATGCTCTTTAATGCGTCATGTTTTGATTACGTCATCGTACCTTACACAGCATTGGTTGAGAGCCAATTGACTGCCGTTATATTTGGAAATCGAACTCACGAACACCAGATGTGAACGCCTCGACAAGTGAACTTTTATTGGCTTTGATCGCCACGTAGCTAATGGGATGGGATACAATGGGGCTTAACAAGTAGATAGAGGATGGACTCTACTCATTTAGTACGGGCATTTCTTGACGCTGCACGCGGCAAAAACAGCCCTATGTACACTTCCACAAAACGCCAGGTTTTAGGTCTTACGGGTTCAGGGAAAATGAACGCCCTTTTCCCCACCCCCACCCCACCCCCAATACCCCCAGGATCTTTAGCCGTGGCCTCAGTCGTGGTTAGGTAGTTTTCACAGCTAGTTCAGTGGGGATCATGAGCAACCAGAAGGAAACGTCGGTGGCTGAAGAATGGCTTGGGAGCCAAAGTGGTCCCTAAATAGCAAGACAGGCCCCTCAAGAGCAAAGTCCCTGACCGTCACGCGGGGTACTCGGCTGGCAGGCAGCCTTGGGTATTTACTGAGCTCTTGAGTCTCCAGAGTGTCTCTGACCGGTCAGGCAGTCCATCGAGCAGCCAGAAGGTCTCTTGGGTGGTGGAAGGGGCCTCCTATTGGTCAAAAGGGCCCTGAGCAGTTAAGAAGACCCCAAGTGTCTAGATGGCTTTGAAGATGACTAAATCACTCCAGCGACGGAGCCCTCGATAGCGGGAGGAGTGTTTTGGTCACCAAAAGGAGCCATTGCTATCAGCTCCCGACACGCCAGATTTCCCCAGTCGGCTGTCATTAACACGCGGCCGGGCGGGGGTCAAATTAAGTCACCGAGGTTTTTCAGAATAATTTGCGAACGAGGCGTAGCCGCGCCAAATTTTGCAAAACTGCGGACAATTGAATAGTAGATCGTCTGGCATCAAAAATTTAGATATGCCTTGTATGGTCACTGACCTATAATAGGCCAAGTTCAGACCATGTTTTCAGCGAAGACAATTTCTAGGGAATCGCTCAATCTGATCCAACAACGGAGTATTAGAAGAAGCCATGCATTCCCGAGATGCATTCTTAGGCAACACAACATCTGAATAAACAATTATCTTGACCTTGGGTCAGGTATGGATGTCAGTCCAAGGTCAAAACCAGCCTGCTGTATTACTCTGTGGCTTGCTTTATGGAGCAGTTTCTGATGTTCATTTCGTAATTTATTGACAACAGGAGCCCATCATACACCTTCCATGGACTTCTCAAACGTCAGAATAAGTCACTGACCTAAAATGACCCACTTCAAAAATTTGATTTCAGGAACATGCTGCTTAGCGTAGTCTTTGCCGCTTATTCACATGCAAAACTCAAGGCAGTTTTGTATGATTTTGGTCACCATGACCTTCAAAAGGTCCAACAAAGTCACTGACTTTAAATAAGCACGGGAGCTTTTGCTTAGAACAGTTATCGAGATTCTAGGAGCCCTTTGGAACCAACCTGGAATTTGACCTTGCTGGACATTCAATTCCAAGAGCCCTTTAACAGATGTCGCCCACCTCAGACAAACCGGCTCTCCCATTAAATTCAGCTGCTCAACATCTCCCGCTGTCTCGCATCTTCCGCTCCCGCTATCCACCGCCCCATGAAGGCACAGCACGAACGCTGCCATCAGTGGGCCGCGATCAGCGCGAAACGGGCTTCCGCGCCATCAGCAGGAAGTAGGGGTGACGGAGGGTGATGCCGATGTCGCTAGTATCGACCTCCGGCTTGCCGTTGGAAAGCACCGATTGGAACCTGGGGAAACAGCGCGAAAAGGTGAGGTTTTCTGTGCTCGGTTTCATAATCACATGCACTCAGCCACGTCATTGCGGGCAGTAAGTCAAGGGCGACATTACCACTCAAGACCAAAACGCATACATGCTGAAATTCTCCCACCACCCTGCAATGGGTACGTTGCCGTTGATGTCCTAGTAAGCATGCACCGTAAATTTGGTTTTAATTAATGACTTGTAGCCATTATAAACGGAATGTTCACATTTGAATATAATGAAGCATGCGTTGTAACAAACTGACCGAAACTTTTTGGCATAGCGTTTAAGTGAAAAAGATTGCTCTAGACAGCACAATGCACTTTTTAGTAAATGTGCTCCTTAATGCGTTGTGGTTTGATTACGTCATGGTACCTTGCACAACATTGATTGAGAGCCGTTTGACTGCCGTTTTATCTGAAAATGGCGCTCATGAACGCCAGATTTGAACGCCATGATGATCACATGTGTCTTGGCCTTGATCGCCCCCAGACTTATGGAATAGCAGGATTTGAATGACGCTATTATGGCGTCATGAAAGCCAAGGTGACTTTGACATACTCTGCCCGATAAACCTTTCCCCATTTTCGCGGGTGTATAGCTCAAAAACTAGAAGGGCCAAAACTAGTCTGATGAAGGGTAGGATTGTGGATAGAGCTGAAGGGTTGAAACACTCCTTATAAGTCTTTTTTCTCAGGACGGCTTTCGAAAGCGCTTCCTCTCTCTCTCTCTCTCCTCTCTCTCTTCTCTCCTCTCTCTCTCTCTCATCTCTCTCTCTCCTCTCTCTCTCTCTCTCTCTCTCTATCTCTCTCTCTCTCTCTCTCTCTCTCTCTCTCTCTCTTCTCTCTCTCTTCTTTTAAATTTGTCTATGTCAAGTTCAGATTATGCTAGTCAAAATTAGGCTGTACGCAACGGCGTACGCATCGTCCGGGTGCAGGTCCACGATCTTTCGCTCCAGCAGGGCTTTTCGTTCTGTGGAAGTCTTCCAGGCAACGGGGCTAGTTAGCAGTTGTGAGCTCGTAACTTAGGGGTGAAAATTATCTTTCTGTCGTCGATGAAATTGACAGCAGTCTAAGTTGTCACCTGCAGCCAAAGCCATCAGAGGCCGTAGCAATATAATTATTGGTGCGATAAACCAAAAAAACAAACATAAATGAAATGCAATGTAGCATAACCATCGAGCATACCCGTTTCGGGAGTTTCCTTCGCATTAAAGTATCAATTGCTGGCCACGCCGAAAGTCCCGGTGGTTAACATGCAGGTCTTACTGGCTGGTCTTGAATCCTCAGAAGTATTCATTCCATCTATTAAAATATATCTAACCAATCCCTGACCGGGCCGGTTGCCCGCTCGATCGTCCAACATTTCTGAGCACGGCAAGTATTTGTACAAGTATATCTCTCTGTGGGGGCTGTGGAACTGGTGAAACCGGCGGAAGGCGACATCACTCCCTGGACGATGCAGATTCGGCATTTACTCGTACGTTGGCACCACAAACGCGGCTGCCGACCCGTAAATACCGGTGGCGCCACCGCGGCACCAGGTGTGCACCCGTCCACAGATATCGTGCCCCTGGACGCCCACGACGGAATTCGGCTCAACAACGGGTGGACCCTGCGGCACTTGTCCCACGAACGGCAGGTAGAACGCCAGTCCCGCCAATGCTTGGCGCGAGCGCGGCGGAACCATCCGGGCGGCTGTCGTCACCAGCGGTGGGTCCACACTCCACAGGCTTTCCGAGCGGATGTCGCCTGTATACATCGGATACGACCGTAGCCGACTCCCGAGGAGTTCTAGAGCGATAATTAGACAGTAACATAGCGGCTTCACCATCGCTCGGTGTGAGCACGACGGATTGTCTGCGCAGGCAGCGGTCGCGGAAGTCGGTGGCGGGGATTTTTCCATGTTAGCAGCTCAATGAACAGTGAAATACAAGAAATAGATGTTTCAGGGATTGTTCATGCATGACCTCATCTGGCAAAGCCCTTCAAAATCGGTTCTACCTGGAAGTTTTGCTTCCGCGGTCTTACACAGAGACCTCTCCGCCCCATGCGTTGCGTTGGCTCTGTCAGAGCGAGCCTATGTTTCTTGTTTTCACCTATATGATGGCCGGCTTTACGAACCAGCAAGCAGACATATCAACTCACCAGCGCTATCTAGTTCTGAATATCTTTGGTTTAGGCGCACCACTGGACAAGCACCGTGTCACCACTAATCTTTGACGTTAGCACTGACATAGCGTTGTCTGTAGTGCATTTCTGGCACCTGCTAAAAGCCATCCTGATTAAGGCTACTACGCTTGGCAACATCTTGTGGCTCAACTTGCTCATAAAGTGAAACGTTGGTAGTTCGACATGTACTCTATACTAGCTTACGCTGCAAGCAACTGCACATACTAAGCTTTTGGTTTCGTCTGATTGCGATGACCTATTGTAATTTGAGAAAGTCTGGTGTAATTTGCTTCTATTTTCGCATACTGTCACATACTAGCTGGCAAAAGTGTCCGTTTTTGCCACCGATGATGACCAGCAAATTGGAAGCATTTTCACCCCTTTTTATAATGGCATTAACCTGGACAATTCCTTATGGTATTGGTTATACGGCGTAGGAATAATTCCGGTGCAATTTCACAAGACTGAAGCAAATTCGCCTGAGAATTAACCTGGAATTGCCGTTGCCGTTGTCGTTGACCTGGAGTTGTACAATCGGATGGTATCTGTCAGGGCTCACAGAAGAAAAATTGCTTAGTATGAGCTCTGATCCCACAAATCCATCCGATCAAAAGGTCCGAATTAAATTTACAAAGACGAAAGAATGTACACCAGAACATTCAGCAATACCGCTTCGCTGGCCGCCGGCTGCTCACCGTTCCCTTGTCAGCTGCAGCAAGGCCTCGCCTCGCTCGGCGCCGCAGCGGGCCATCATTTTCTGGAAGGAGCCAAGGCTTCCGATGAAGCCCAGCAGGCCGTCCAGCGTCAGCGTCTGCTCCTGGTCGTGACTCTCGTCCCTGCCGCCACGGTCGGTGTCCGTCAGCCGCGCGGTTAGAGGTCACGGGCCAGCGGCAGGGCGAGGTCAGAACCCCAGACAGCCGTGGGGTACTGAGCCTGACCGCCTTCTTTGACCTTCGTCTTTGCAGGCAGTAATGGGGGAAGAAGACGCACGGGCCGCGGTAGTAGAGCAAGAAACCCGGATCCGAAGTGATGATAGCAGAGAGAATCGACGCCCGGAGAGACACCTCATAAAAGAGAATATCATGCCACAAGATATTACACGAGGTACTGAAGTCGTTGTTTTTGTAACTCTCTTCACGACGATGGAACTCTCTATAAAAGTGGAGACCCGCTGAGTGGAAATTAATATCCAAGTGGGTGAACAATGAATGTTTATTCCTAGGTGGCAGTTCATACCTCACTGTTCCGGCATCCACAGCACAAGTACCGGTCAGAAATCACACTCTAAGCAGGCCAACCTATCGATCGTTAGCGGTCACCGCGCTTGTATAACCGAGCAGGAAGCGGGTGCGTCCAGACAGGACGTGGCTCTGTTCTAATGATCTGCAATGGCGATTTCAGCGAGACTGCGTGACAAACAAGTTTTACTTCTAACAGAAGCATTGCTGGTTAAAACATGAAACACAACGTTACATTATTTGCAAGCAAAAACATTAATTCATTGTACCCCGAATTCCTAGTCGTAATTAAACACTGTTTTTTCGTGATTACTGTTGCCCATCGGACGACCGACGCAGCTACAGCAGTTGAGGGTGCCAGAGAGACCCGCGAACAAATAAGTTGGTCGGGTCACCCTATGTGTGGGTCCTACGTCACGCATGCGGCGCAAGCGTTCTATTCTCTCTTCTGTTCACCTCTGTTGTGCATAGCAGTCGGGTTAGGCTGTATTGCCTAATATAATAAAGCACTACAGTTGCAACCCCTGACACAGTCTCAGTTAAGGCCATCATAAAACCCGAAAGTATCCTCTATGCCTACACATCTTTCTTGGAACATTGCAGTGTAGACAATTTAAACCATGACGGAACAGGAAATTTGGGTGAAGGATTTTGTTCCAGGAGCGGGGACAATTCTGAGAGTTCTCAGGGTTTTAAGCGTGTGTACTTGATAGACAGCAAATGACAAGGGACATCTGGGCGCCACCGCGGCGGTCCCGCATACGGCATCTGCGCACCACCGCGGCGGTCCCGCATTACGGCATCTGCGCGCCACCGCGGCGGTCCCGCATTGCGACATCTGCGTGCCACCGCGGCGGTCCCGCATTACGACATCTGCGCGCCACCGCGGCGGTCCCGCATTACGACATCTGCGCGCCACCGCGGCGGTCCCGCATTACGACATCTGCGCGCCACCGCGGCGGTCCCGCATTACGACATCTGCGCGCCACCGCGGCGGTCCCGCATTGCGACGTACTTTAACACCATCCCACACAGGACAGCACTACCTCCGGTCCGGCGGCTCCTCGTCCGTGCTGGCGCTGTCACACGATGCATCCTGCTGACCCTCACGGGCCTGTTCGCCGGCGGTACAGCCGAGACCCACCTGACCTCGCCCGGGTAGGGGAGCCGGAAGCGTGGGTCGCCGTACCGGTCCTCCACGTCTTTCCAGACGCGGCCCCAGTCATTACCAATAGCCTCAAAAGCCTGCCATGCACAACGTGGTAAAGTTAGACGTCTCCCAGGACTGGAAAGCCGTGTGATAGACTTGCTGCTCCACATGAGTTCTCTGATTCCGTGTTGCAAACTTTCTGAGAAGTGATAACGTTCCCTCACAAACGAAATTCCTTCTAAGAGGATGAAGAACTTCGCTGTACTGCATATTCAAAGAAACAGTCAGACCATCGCACGCCTTCAAATTTAATATGTCAAGGACTCAACGTTTAGCACGTGGCTCCCCAGTGGCCGCAACTCGCCTGCATCAAAACGTGATTGAGCTCAGTCGAGAACATGCCGTTGCGGTAGACCTTCGGCGTCCTGACGCTGTAGATGCCAAGAATTCCGGCTGGCGCTAGCACGCGGTCTGCCTCCGCGAAGAAGCGGGGCATGTCAAAATAGTGACAGCATGTGCAGGCGGTGACCAGCTGCACGGACTCGGCGGGCATGGGGATCTCCTCGGCGGCAGCTACCCTGGCGACAAGAAGAGAGAAATCGAGCTGATATTTCATGACACCAGGGAGTAACACTAAACGGAGATTTCATGATGCAAGGAAGCGAGGTAGAACGAGTTAGAGGTAGACTACCTGACGGCGGGGAACAGGCACAAGTGACTCCCTGGCGAGTGGGAGCGAGTGGAGCAAGAACTCCTTGACAGCGGGAACCGGGTAGCCACGGCGACGTTTAAAGGGGGTGTTCCGCATTAATGTGGGTTTTGAACTGAAATAACCGTCTTCAAGACCTCTCAGTGCCATTCACAATCCTCCCCTTCTGAACACACTCTCGGGTGGGAGTCAATTTGACCTACTGCGAAGGGTTTTCCAGAATGGTTTCTGAACGACGCGGCGTAGCCTCGCAAAATTTGCATAGCTGTAGACAGTTTAACAGCTGATCGTGTGGTCAAAACAAACTTAGACGTGCCGTTTAAGATCGCTGGCCTGCGGCAGGTCACAGTCATGCAATGGATTCAGCGAAGGAAATTTCTTGGGAATCGTTCAATCTGATGCAACAACGGAGTGCTAGACGATGTTAGACATCTCTAAGACTGTTACAAAGACAACACAGTTGAATGAATGAAGTCCATTGACCTAGCGTCAGATATGAAGGTGAGACCAAGGTCAAAGCCAACCTGTTTTATTGCTCGGAGCTTGCTGTAAGAGGTAGCTTCTGGTACTCATTTAAATTTATTGATAACAGGAAGCGCATCAAACATATTTCGTAGACGTCTTGAAAGTCAGGACAGGTAGCTGACCTAAAATGGCCTGGGTTGGCATTTTGTTGCTGGGAGTATGCTGCCTAGCGTAATCTTTGACGTTTATTCAAATGCAAAACTCAAAAGCAGTCTTGTATGAGTTTGGCTACAATGGCCTGCGAACGGTAAAACAAGATCACTGGCCTGAAATGGGCAGTAGTGACTATGTTCTTAAACTAGTTGTCTAGATTCCGATGACAATTTGTGCATCAAACTTCATTTTAACCTTATTTACCTTACCTTACCTCCTTACCTTACATTTACCTTACCTTACCTCCTTTGACCTTATTTACTCGGAGGTCATCATGACCTGGAAATCCCAAATTTTGACACAAGTATGTTTACATGGCACCTAATATACCCTTCTATTGCGTGTTTCTAGCTCTCTTAGTTTTTAAGATGTCAGAGGGCCTAACTGACTCCAATCGGAGCAAAGGGCATTCAGCCGGCCACCCGGACGCGTGTTAAGACCAAAGGTTTAGTTTCCGAGCTACACACCGCGAAAATGGTTGAAGGTATATCGAGGAATATATTTCAAAGTCACCTCGGCATTCATGACATCATGATAATACTTAAAATAATCGTTCAAATCCTGTCATTCCATATGCCATGTGGCGATCATGGCTAATAAAAAGGAATGGGCAAAGCGTTCATATCTGGCGTTCATGAGGGCGATTTCCAGATATAACGGCCGTCAATTGGCTCACAATTAACATGGTGCAAGGTACTATAACGCAATCAAACCATGACACATTGAGGAGTATATTTACTAGGCAGAGAACTGTACTGTCTAGGACAGTCTTTTCCACCTAAAAGTGTAGCAGAAGTTACAAGTGAACTTGTCCCATCATATCTCATGCTTGCTTCAATATCTCTAAATGTGAACATTCCCTTTAAGCGGCAGGGAGAGCTCCGGAGAAGTAAATACATTCGGCGCCAGCATCGTACAAAGCAACGCGTATGATGATCAGCCAGCGCTGTTCGCATTCTGATAGAAGCTGCCGCTGTTGTTGTCGTTATAGCCGATATTATCAGTTGTTGTTCCAGTAGCTCTAGCCCCTGCGCTGCGATGGGCTTGTTTCCGAGCGCTGGTGGTCATTATCAGTATCGGGCGGTTGAGGTTCTAACGCGTAAATTGAATTTAGGACTCCAAAAACTTAAATTTACTTAGGGTCAGGTAGGAGGGTCAGACTAAAGTCAAACCAGCCTGCCTTTTTACTCCCAGGTTGCTATATGAGGTAGTCTCTGGTGCCCAATTCCAGTTTATTCGTAACAAGAACCACATCAGTTAACTTCCATGGACTTCTACAAGGTCAGATGAGGCCACTGACACAAAATCACCTTGGTCAACATTTCGTGTTAAGAAACATGCCGTCTGGCATAACATCTGACGCTTATTCGACTGAAAGAAATCAGAACAATCTTGCATGATTATGAACGCTATGACCTTCAACAGGTCGAACATCACTGACCTCACATGAGCACCAGCATTTCTCTGTTTGCTTAGATTATGTATCTAAGCTCACTGCGGTTGCGTGAGTAGTTCTGTGGTCACTTTGGAGCACAATTAATTAGTATGCGCATGAGGTTAAAAGTGCCAGCGGTTATGCGACACGGCCGATGATGGGCGAGAAGAAACCAAGTCTCTCGCCATCTTTTCAACGTGTGAGAATTCTACCTTTCCGCCCAAGACGCTCGCGGTGCACGAGGGACGTTACACACTAACTAAAACACCACGCCCTCTAATAAATATTTATGATAATAAATGTTTGATAAAATAATGAATAAGAAATACTAAATATTTGTGATGCTCCGTTAACGCGTTGGAAGCAAAACAACGAATACCAAATCAGGTGATTTTGTGAACTACCATGGAAAAATTGGTTTTCTACTGCATAAATGTAATTTCATGTGACTGTACGATGCACGATTACAGCTAAGAATAGCTTTTGTCGTTTCTAGTACGAACAAAAAAGGAGGATTTAGTAGCACTTGACATTCTAGAAATATGATTGACAAAGGACGCAGCTGTTTTATTGCCCTGGATGAAAGAGCAAGTAGTGCAAAGTTGTGCGCATGGATCATAATGTTAATGCAGCCTGAAATCTAACAAGGAAAAAGTGGTAACAGTTGATGTTGTCTCACCAGTTGGTGTTCCCGACGATGTATGCACACTGAAATATCACATATGAGATGAAATGGCCAATCTAGTTAATTAGAGGTCGTACTTGATGAGCGTCGTCCTGTGCTTGTGGACTGGATGGCGCTGACAGTGTCCAGTGGCGTGTGTACATACCTAAACTGGACTCTGAAAATGTTACAAAATGTGCTTACGCTTTTGGGTTATGAAAGCAAAAGCAATTATGGTTCTGCGATGTGGTGGCTCTTGTGAATTTGCGGTCAAATACAGAAATTCACCAGTCTTAGCCCACGTGAAAAAGGTTGCAGTTCTCTCAATTTTTGTGATTCGTAGTACCTACCGCAGACTTCAGAAACATAAAACAACAGTCCTCCACGACTCTGCCCAACTCACCGGTATTCGATATTCGCGAAGGTGTTTCTCGCGGTCGCCTCTTTGATCTGTGCTGGGCTTATGTCCGTAGCTAGTACGGAACGGAAATGGGGTGCCAGACAGCGGGTGTTCTGTCCACTGCCGCAGCCGACGTCAAGTACACGATCCAACGGCAGCTTCTCCTGGGGATATCCCAGGCCAGTGAGGTGCATTTTCAACAGGTAACATTTGGTGATACATAAACAGACCACCGAAGGCAACACACTGTAGTGGAATTATGGGACATTGGACATTTAGAAGTTCTTCGTTTTGCGGATAAGTTGTCGCACCTTTTTCAGCTTGGTATCAAATAAAACGCCATCATAGATAGCTGCATCAGAAATGTAGCAGCAAATGTTCTATTTTCTCAAAAGACACCTAAACATATCGTGGCAATCATATCTAATACTGTCATAACCAGGGTGCTTTTTACGCATTTACAGCTACACTTCGCAGCAGTGACATTTTTTAGTTGAAATGAATGCGAGATGCAAATGCAGGACGTTTTTAAGGTTTTTGAATGACCGATTTTAAATGAACAACAGCGTTTGATGTAGATCCGACCACACGTGTATCCTTACCTTAACAGCTTGCACAATAACATTGATGAGAGACGCTGGCGGCTCTGGCCGGAACTGTGCATACAGCTTTGCATGCGAAGGTCTGTCAAACAGCCGATACATTGCGGGATCGTGTAAGCTGAAAAAGAATTCAAGAACACCAATGCTATGCACGCACATGGATAATACGAGCCACACCATGCCATATCACCCGTTCGTGGGATAATCGTGGACCCCACGGGGCCAAAAAGCGGCGGCACTGGGTCGATGGCACCGACCGCCACCCGTCTTTGGTGTGTCTGTCATTCGGCGTCAAACGGCCCACTATACCGTTCCAGCCGGCCGCTGACTATTATCTGCACATAACCGCCTTCAGGCCAGGTGTCGCCATTGTCCGTGGGATCGTGTCATAAGCTTGGCCGGAATGGCTATGGCCAGCTACTAGAATCATTCCCGTTCAATTCAAGTCGCTTCGAAAGCAGATTATTCAGACGACGTGTAGTAAAATTATATCTCATGGCAGCAAACATCTTCAAAATATTTAAAATCTTTAGATAACTGAAGACATAAGTTCAGTGAAATCCTCAGAAGTCTTAAGGAAGAGAACGACACCTGGAAGCATCAAACACTCCTGAGAATGAAATCACCCATCTCCAAGTCACCACGTGCCGCCTTTTTCGTCAGAACATAAACTACGCACAACATACGCAATGTAATTTGATGCTTCCTTTAAAATGTCCCCCTCAATGCCTTGTCAGCCTTCTGTTGTATAAGACAGTTCTGAGATCGCAAGGCGATTCCCCACTCTGTGATTGTTTTAACCGACCATCATGCAATGTCTCCTTTGCTTCTTATGGGTTAATTACCACATAATTTCTGTCACATGTGACTAGGAGTCGTTTCCGTTTCAACTAGAATATAAGGCGAAGCGTTTGTTTCTATCTGTGCTCATCCGCTCATTGGATCTGAGGACGCGAGGCTGCTGTTGGCTGTGCACGTGGACTTTGTGGTGTGGTGTGAGTGCTGGTGAATGCGAGTCACTGGCAAACAGAGGTTATAGACTGACAACATTCATTTGCCAGGTTCGCGAGAGCGACTGGCACGAGCAAGGTTCTCACTAGTAAAACTATCACACGAGCAGTTGGAAACCGGCAGCAAATTGGTTCCAAGTGACCCGGATTCGCAAATAGCCATTTTTAAGTCGCAAGTATTCAATTCTTCTTCGTGAACTATCGGAATTGTGGGCCAACTCATCCGCCACGTAGCCTTGAACCCTTGAGTCAGCATCAGAGTACGTGACACTGCTATATCTTTGTTTTGTGTGTTGCAACATTCTGACAGACATGACTACACCTGCACACACACACACACACACACACACACACACACACACACACACACACACACCGAGGGCGCTTATAGCACAAACTATGCAGGAAATCGTTCACCAAATTACGGTTCAAGGGCTTACACAGTATGTTAGGAAAATCAATGGAGTGAAGTAAAAATTTCATGATTGGGCAACGGATATGGACTTTTGCACAACGGACAATAAACGCATGCGACCTTTTAGGACCCACAATCTGAGTGGACATGAAGGAAAATTTGCCTGCAGGCCCACTGATGCAAAGCCCAAAATAGGCTGAAAACATCTCGGAAGAAGACGTCGTGAGGGACACAGTGAGATACAGGATTTGTATTGCGCTCAAATAAAGTTGCGTTGCGTTGCGTCAAATAGCATTCTGCAGAACTCGTGTAAAATGTTTCCGAAAAGCCTGCAGGCGATAGCATCCGAACCCTTTGATGACGTGTCCAGTCCCGAAGTTTAACGTTTTCTGGTGGAAATGTTCCAAAAAGGAGTGATCGACGATAAGTTACCGCGTCGTATTATCCGTAAATAATTTTGAGCATAAAGAAGCCTTCAGCTTAGCATGTTGGGAACCACAAACGGACCACCCTTTTGAAAGGTGTAGAGGAACCATGAGTCCCAAACGAATGGTTATCGAAGTAGTCCGTAACGTACCTGGTTCCGAAAAAGCTGCAGCAAAATGGAGGAGTTGCTAAAAGAGCTAGGCTCAACGCTGGACAGTCTCGAAACAGGTGTCAGCACTAAAACAACATTCGCATTTCCACCACTGAAAGGGTCAAGATCATCCGCAAAATCGAGATTGCATACCCGGCAGTGCACTTTCACAAAAGCAACCACAAAATTTCGCATTATTACGTCAGTTGCAGCCGTGTCAACGAGCGGGAAGTAGCAGCTTCCAGCAATTTAAGTTCCAAAGTTTGGATGCACCTCCGAATCAATATCTACGTCAACCTCCAAACTTGCAGAGAAAGGTGATATCATGCAAGTTCCACCATCACTATTCGCGTTAACCTCCCAACGTACAGCAAAGTAAGCAATATCATGCGCGCTCACGTCATCAATGGACGAGTGGTGGTCGTCTCATATGCGCTATTTGCACAAAATAGGCCACACTCAGCATAATTGTCGTGCACGAAAGAATCCTAAGTAACTTATAACTTCCAAAACGCGCGTATTAGTAACTATGTATGTATGGGTCCGGGTAACTAAATCGGTCTTGTTCTTAGAGCCCACCGAAAGGAGAGCCAATGTAGACTTGTTTCCACTGATGAAATTAAGCGAATCGTTCTAAAACCAGACACCCCGTTGTGCTGGACATACCTTGGCAATCGCAAGACGCATCCTTTTGCAGATATGAGTGCCAACATGCCTCTTATTTCCCGCCGCGCTTTTTACAAAATATCGGGTAAAAGTGTATGTGAGTTTTCGGCAAAGAACTTAACTTCATTCAATGCGTTTCTGGACATAGACCGAAAACCTTTGGAACTGACGTTCTTTCGATAGCAATCTCAATATTTCATAGTCAAGTTTCAACTTGTTGATGGCCTTAAAAACAACAACGCCCGCACAGTCCTACGTCGAATCGCTAGCTTTTATTAACCGTGTACAGTTAAGAGAACAAAACTGGTTAATTAAATCGCTGAGTAATGTACCGCATCTTAGTAAGCAGCCAGATATTTTTCTGATAAGTTCTGTAGGGTATTTGAATCAAACGGACGCGTCCAAATTATTCCGGTCAACGCCACAACCACAGACCGTAATTCGCGATCCCGATATGTTAAAGACCTTACTGCAACGTTACAAGAATCCGAAATCCGCAGCGTAGAAGTAGATGGGGATGCTTTTTAAGCATTCATTTGAAAGCAATGTTTCACAATTCAAGACATTAAAACAAGCATCAGATATCACCACCCAGGCTCGCCTAAAACTATTGGTATACTTTTGAAGTGGAAAAGACTGCTCCAAACATTACAATTTTCTTTTCAGACTTAATCCACTGATTTACGAAAACCCTTCCTAACCACCTGCTGTGACAGGTGGGAGCTCGACTCACTCTGGTCGCCACGTGCGGGCTGGACGAGTGGGTCCACATGCATTGGTCAACTTTCCCAAACGAGAGCTTCCGGGATGAAAAGCTTAAACCGCGCACGGCCGGGGTAAGTTGACTTGACTTTCCTCACCGTTTCTTTACGGTTTTTCGAGCACAGCGCAAATCCCAACGTTTGCAGCAATACCAAATATTCAGCACCTGTATTCTACCAATTTGGCATCCTTTGCGCAATTTCAAACTTTGATCAACGAAGATAAATGACCTTAGTGATACCAACGGGGTCAACCTCCACGAAGCTTCACCAGACATGCCTTTTTGTGGATTGTCTGTCATTTGCGCAAACTTGCTGCAGTATTAGAAGATGACAGTACATGCAGCATGTATCTTTCAGATTTTGTTTTTTCACAGGCAAGGTCAGTGACCCGAGGTCAGGTCATTTTTTGACATTTGATCGTAAAACATGCAATTTTGTACATATTTGTTTGGCTTTAGTGTTTCTTAAGAGGAAAGAGCACTAGCTCACGTGCACAGCGCTCACATGGCCGCAGAGCGCATGACCTGGCCCAAGTCATGGCCTCTGATCCCAACATAGATAGCCTTTTGGTAGTTTAAGGCGCAACATTTTAATACTTTACTTAAAAGATGCGATACAAATATAATGCATAACGAGCTCACATAAGGTCACGTGGGAACATGCAAGGCCATATGAGATCATCCAAGGTCAATGTTCCCTGTTCTCGGTATGATAGAGGCTAGGTGAACAAGTGCGACGCATGTACCCACCTCTATATCTTGTTCGTCAAGCTGATGACGTATAATTCATGTACCAATATACCCGTTCACGGTTTGTTACAAATGCATTACCAAGCGTCGAAGGTATTACGTACAATGTTTACGGCAGCCACGCAATTTTTAGTATCTGAAGATATACAATACATTATTTATAACCAAAGAAAATAATTCCACTCATCGCATAGACCGGGTAGGCATTTCAATTTTGCCAGTTGGGTGACTTATAAATTTGACCTTAGCCCAGCTCAGCTGACCTCTAGGCCACCCTAAAATGACATTTCATGCTTGGGATGCTTTTGTCTCACAGGTGCACCTAAAAATAATCTTGAAGCATATTGCGAAGGAAACTTTTTGTTTTCGTTTTGCATCGCTTTTTTCCATGGTTCCAATTTTGAACAATGG